CTCTACAGACTACTTCCTTTCACATATTTCTCATCTTTCACATTAAGTGTACTAATTTTGACTCAAGATCTGTTGAATTAAAATATAACAGTTAGTCAATGATTATTTGTTAGTGCCTATATGGGGTATTGTAGAACTAAGCCTTCTCGTAAGAGAAAAAATACAAAATTTAAAATTACCATATTATGGTACTTTAGTGACAGTGTATGTATAGTAATAATATAACGCTTGATTTGTATATCAATAGATGTCAGATAAACTACCCATGGCTATTTTTTATCGCACATATATCCAATGTTCTCAAATATTGAAAGTTCTGTATATATCATGTTCCTATCGTAATTCTACGAATTATTGCTATTATTATTTCATCAAAATGTAGTACATGTAGATAAGTAACACGATTCATATATATATTTTTGAATTTTGCATCATTATTTATTTCGATAAGTTTGAAAAGGGTTGCACAGAGAGTTAATTGAACTTCATTTGAACGATATTGTGAGGTATCGCTCACTGATGCTAGATGTGGTGCAACGTGCGACATGTTTAGTTCTTATATACTTGGTTCACGGTGAAATCTCGATCATTCGACTTTGTAGTACCGCTTCGTGTACTTTTTATGTTTAAATTTTGTTTAAAGATGTCTATCAAAATCACACAAGAGCTATAAAAGCAGTTGATAGATTAGAGGAATGGCAGCTGATCAGACAAAAGAACTCACTGTTATCTCTTGAGTTATTCTTGCAACCCAGTATTGGATCTGACTGTCAATCCTGTATTGCACCTACAACTTTGAAGCGAGGAGCGTATTTTTGTGATAACGGGACGAAGATTATGAATTCTCGGATTCACAATACGGTTACGTTAACCATTAGGCCGCACCACACTCACTAGGGACAGACCTATGATTGACCTAAAAAAAATCTCTCTGAGGAATTTAATTATATCTGTGGAAGGACAAACTCGCACAACTGAGCGTTTAGGACAGCATCATGATCCTAAACCAACCCCATCTGCAAAAGCCATTACAATGAAATTGGGCATATATAGTCGTACCCTTAGTAAAATATTAAACAATCCTTTCTAGTTGATGAAGTTCACAAACTTCCAAACACACCATAAAATCAACTGCTGTTTTTATGAGAAACATGATCATAAAACTGGAATCACAGTAATCTCATTCTTCCAATATTTTCAACTCTTATTCACTCTCGCTCGATGCAGTTATGATGGGCTTTTGTTCTTTTGGTTTACCTGAACGCAGTGGAAATTTGGAGAATATAAGGTCATCAGACTGAGTACGATCAATGACGAAAAAGTAGTTCCAATGGCAACACGGAACCTGGAATATTATTAACTTTTGTACTGTACAGAGTATCGCCTGTTTAGCTTATCAGAACAAAGAACAAAATAACAAAGTCAGCGATTAACTACCAACCGAACTAAAAGTCCAAGAAAATTATACACCCAGGTGAAGTTAACAAAATGACCGTCTGAAAACAAAATTCAAGCTTAAACTTCTTAAACGATAATTTAGTTAACGAAGTCAACAAAAACTGTTGGGATCTAAACTTAAGTTATTTTTGCTGTCAGTAGTGAACTACATATTCTCCCAGTTATGTCACCAATGCTTGGTATGTCTCATAGTGATAAAGGATGTAATTACACACTAAATACACGTATTTTATTACAATGTTATGATAAAAAGCATTTATTCTAAATGTTATTGGCCTGTGTCCTAACTATGAAAGAAACCAAGGATATTGCATGAGTGACGTAATAGAGCAATAAAAATAAGAAACTATTCTTGCATTTTGACTCTTTCTACTTCCTTCCTGAGAAACTTTGGCTCAGTACAGCTGTTTAATGTCTAACAAATCATCCCATCTGTTCATACGGTTTGTTTGACGCCAGTGACTCCACCAATTAACAAGCATTGTAAACTGTTTATGTTTTGTTTATTTGTAATTAATTAAGCATAAAGCTACACAATGGGCTATCTGTGCTCTACCTACCACGGGTATCGAAACCCGGATTCTAGCGTTGTAAGTCTGCAGACATACCACTGTGCCACTTGGGGGCTAGTCCTTTAGAAACTACACTTCGTTCAATATCGTTTAGAGGAAGATTATGAGGAATAGTTATAACACGTTTAGTTTAGTGAGTCCGCAGACATACCTCTGTGTCACTGGGGACAAACTGTTTATGTGATGTTAAGCGTTTATATACTGAGCACTCATACTCATTCCTGTGACTCAGCGGTAAAATTGAGTGTTTATATCTCTAAAACTCTGGATTCGATCCCTGTGGAGGCACAGCGCAGATAATCCATTATGTAGTTTTTTCTATAAACAAAAAGAATAGTTTTTATTGAAAAAATTTCACCGAAAGAAAAATAAACATTTTCCTTCTACAAAGATGGAATAGATCCGTTAATAATAAATTAGTGCTTGTACTACAAAATAAATAAAAAATTGTATTTCATTGCGTTAGAAGTAAGACCTGTGCCACATAAGCATCAATGCAAGAAGCTTTTGAAGGCCAAACCTTCTAACTTTCTAACATAAAATTAATTATATTTTGAAATTATTCTGTCAGATAATTCTTTTCATAATTTCATTATTGCAATAATAATCAATAATTTGACATAATAAAATGAAAGTATGCATTGTATGGTACAAAGAGTTGAGTACATTATATTAAGCCCTCCCAGTGGCACAGTGGATATGTCTGCGGACTTCTACTGGGTTCCGATACCCTGGTGGAAGAGCACAGATAACACTTTGTATAGCTTTGTGCTTAATAACAAACAGCAACAACGTTATATTAAATCGATTTTCAGTATGCAACTCAACAAATCACGTGACAACCACAGCCGATATAAAGTCGCGGTGGAAAGAAATGTATCAGGACTACATTTTGACATTACATGGCGTTAACTTACGTAGATAGTGTGAAGGCACCGAAAATTGATCATTTTTGGCAAAGCATGTAACAGCTTTTTCCGACGCAAAATATTCATACACTTACATCATATAGAAGTGTTCGGATCGTGGAATTAGACCTTTCAAGACGGGAGTATTCCTTATGATTAATGGCATTGGACAACAAAGGAATATGGATCAAGATAGGTCACCAGGACTATACAGAAAGAGACCTGCAACAAGTTTTACCACAGTCGTGGTAAGCGAATTGCGGTGTTTTGTAACAGGTGAGAACCCACGAACACAAAGATCAGTAGTGTTAAAAGCGGTCCATGTCTTCCAGCCAAAAGTACGCGACATAATCAAGAAATATTTCCATCTGTAAAGCCACAAAAGTCACGAGTACACAAGTATCTTCCACGACATATCCGTTCAACTGTCGCATACCTCAAGCAGTTGGAGAATGAAATAGGTATTCATACTATTCTGTATGATGACATATCGGTAAAGCTGTCGACCTTTGGAATTATGTACATGCAATCGGACTGTTGAAACAGGTGCTGAAAGCCATCATCCTTATACACTAGATAAGTGTATAACAGTCTTATTTAAGTACGTTTCTCTTTTACCTTAATTATTTTTTGTTTCATATTCGTTACACAAGTATAGAATGAAAGGTAGTTTTGAATATTGTATATTTTATTCAGGTTTTTACCCTTGGAACTATCCTGACAGAAAACACAGATTCTCCTCCTGTCTTATTCTCGAATGTTTACTTCCGTTATTGTGTCCTATTAGAAAAACGGTTGTATGATGCAAAAAAAAAATGTGGTCAAAAGTTTGCTGCTGTCATAGCGTATTTTAAAGACTGTTTTTTTTGTTGTTGTTTTGTTCAGGCAGCTTCGATATTTTTTTGTTAGCTTTATTTCTTTGCCTATTGTAAAGTAAAAGTTTTGCGTCACATGTCAATTTGCTGTTTATTGTGTACAAATACATAAGAGCTATCTACGGAGAGCCATTCATAATTTTCAACTGCAGACTACAGGAAAGGCAACTAGTCAACAGTACCCACCGCCAACATTTAGGCTACTCTTAACACTCGGATTCACAGTTATGGAACGCTAATCACAAGACACTTCCCGGGCTATAGAGGTTGGACAACACTTTAACATGTTCTGTAAGTTCCACACCACACCTGGTTTCAGCAGGTGTATGGTAATACTTAACCAAAAGCCAAATAAGATTGTTTCAAAAGAGGATTAAAGAACAGAAAAAGTGTATAAGTAATACTCTCTATGTCTACTTAATTACCTAACAAATATCTCTATTTACATCTACCTGTCAACGCCCCCCCCCCCAAATGGGATTGAAAAGTGATTTTTTAGACATATTTATTACATTTTTCCAAACTTATTTTTATTTACTTAATTTTAATTACAAAAATGATTGCAGTTTTCTGTGGTTAGATGTTAGCGTAATAAAAGTACAAAATAATTGGATAATAAAATCACATAACTATTATAAAAAAAACGAACTATTCAACTCAGCAAAAAAGCACTAAATTTATAAACAAATATCACAAATTTCACGAATACTGTTCAGTAGATACAGCCAATATTATTACGCGTTTTTCATATTTATATTTATTTTCAAATGTTTGCCATTAGACTAGCCAGCAACTCGATGCTATAGTCTGCAGTAGCAAGAACGACAACATACCAAGAATAATGAAAGTAAGAATATTTAAAGTAATAAGTTTGAATGCAATTATATCTGGTTAAGTATGCATGTCTTTATGAAATGTCGTTATTTCATTGCTAAAGTAGAGGATAAAGGCTAAAAAGCTAAATTCAGAAAGAAATAATTCATAATACTAGAAGTTGTGTTGTCTTTCTTCCCCTTATTGACATAGATAGACTCGCCCTATTTGGCGCTTTTATTTCGTTATTGGTTGACGTAAGACTTTCCACTAAACTTGAGGGTCCAGTAACCCCTGCTTTACTTGCCCATCGCCTTCGGTGTATCTACATACGTTTAAACAAGTTGTGGGTAGTTTTCAACTGTGTCCTCTGAGCGTGAACGTGTATTTTTCATGTGTGACCGAGATTTTCTTATTGAAAGCAGCTTTTCGTTGTCGTAGTTTAATAAGAAACGTATATTTGGAGCTTATATTTTATTGGCAGTGTCACTGGACAATTCAACAGACTCCAAATAAATGAAATCAAGATTTGAAGTCTTTGGGTCTACTCACCTATCTTAAGTAGGACTAGAACATAGAAGGAAAAGTGTTAAGATCGATTTGCTAACTTAAGTAAGTAGTAGACATGCAACTATTTTTCATAGCAATTACTAAGAACTAATGACTAAAACTAAAACAGTAAAAGTAAGCAAGTTATCCAGAATAAAACGTAAATGTAACATATTATTGACGACAATCCTGTATTAATGTGTAATAAAATGGCTAGAAGTGCTTAATGTTATAAATCGGTACACTAGACATCCAACTCCATTCATTCTCATGCAGATTAGATTGTACTAAATCATCAGCTTGGGGCCATAATGATAATTTCGGTTATAATCCCAATATTGGCAATAGTAAATTAGTATCTAACGGGGTTCGGCTAGCGTAGGATAACTCGGGTTGGTCTAAATCCATATACTTATCCAACAATAAAAAATAATCTTCATAAGTGTAATTATAATTGTAAAAATATTTTAAACATTATACCCAGATATAAACATACTATGTATAAAAGGGGTAGGTTGTTATATATAAGAATATCGTTGATTTACTTTTCAAATCGACACTGCTAGTGGTACCAATTCACGAAACATGAATTAAAAAAAAAATCGAATGACTGGGAAAATACTTTCATTAACGTAGTTGTTTTATTTAAATTGGCATTAAAACTCTCGGCGTGTTTATCTAACTTGTTGTAGCTATGTGAATAGAAACTTTTACAACTATAGAGTAAAGTGTGACGTTAAATATATAATTATTATTTCAAATTTGGGTGTGAGGTTTAAAATTTACCATGAAATAAATAGGTAATACAGATCTAATAAAAAACAAACAAACTGAGTTAGCGGATGTGACTGGATTGAGTCCTGCGGCTGTAATAGCAATACATATTTCATAAAGTTAATTAGAGCCGGCATCCTACTTTCGAACTACCTCCAGATATTTTGTACATTATCATAGTGAACGTTACAAGCACAACTTGTTAAACATGCTAATACTAGTGTGAACAGACCATACTAGGGTATGCGCGAGCCTTGGGTTGCTGTATAGCGCAGGATATACACTCACGTTCTAACGGCAGGAACTCTTTTTAATTAAAAGGGGATGAAAAACTGAAACAGCTGTAAATGGCTATATTGCATTTTTTTCTTCCGTGGCCTTGGTGATAACATTGCAGTTCTTGTTGTATTAATCTGATACTTGAGTGTGGAGTGTTTCTTTTTTGTGTGGGGGCGTGCGTATGGCGACAAGAACACAAACTTTCGTTTGAACATAACTTGGTGTGTAACGCTCTGAAGTTTTTCCTGTTTATGTAGATGTAAATCTTGATAAAGAGGATTAGTCGTTTTTCTTTTAAAACCATAAACAAACATGTTTAAAAAGATGTCTCATAAAGCAAGAAAAATTGTATAGTATTAATTGGTAAGAGAATAGCAAATGTATCAACAAAAGTCTCAAAGAATAGTACAGAATTCTCTTCCAACTTTTAAATATTTTTTGAATATAGGATTCTCTTCCAACTTTTAAATATTTTTTTGAATAGACAGAATTCTCTTCCAACTTTTAAATATTTTTTTTAATAGACAGGATTTTCTTCTAAGTTTTAAATGTTTCTTTAATAGACAGGATTCTCTTCTAACTTTTAAATGTTTTTTTAATAGACAGGACTCTTCATAAAGATATAATTATTTGGTTTGAATAATTATTATCCCTTCTTCTGTTGTGTCAACGCTAAATTAATTAAAGTTGTACTACTTCTTCGCATATATTACTCAGAGATGAATATTGCTTACTTATTGCAAGCAAAATACATTTATTTCAATATTATAACCAACACCTTTATTTCAGATAGGTCTAAGAATGACTGTAATCTTTGAAAACTTAAGATAACGAAAGTTGAAATTTAGTCTCAACATGATTAGATGTAAAATAAACTTCTCCTGTCTATTCAAAAAATATTTAAAACTTGGAAGAGAATTCTGTCTATTCAAAAAATATTTAAAACTTGGAAGAGAATTCTGTCTATTCAAAAAATATTTAAAACTTGGAAGAGAATTCTGTCTATTCAAAAAATATTTAAAACTTAGGGTAGAGAATCCTGTCTATTCAAAAAATATTTAAAATTTGGAAGAGAATCCTGTCTATTCAAAAAATATTTAATACTTAGGAGAGAAAACGAAAGTTTGTAGAAGCCACTAACATTTCAAATAACTAAATAGTAATTTATAAAAGAACAACAAAAAATACAACAAACAAGGCGATCATATGTTCATTCAAGGCTATCTTTGTATGTCCACTCTTCTAAAGTGTTGTCCTCTATGCTCTATTTCTGACGCAGCTTATTCAATAAGCAACTAACCTTATTAGAAAAATAACGGTCTTAACTGGAACATACTCTTTTTTTTTCCAAATCTTAAAACTCATGTTCTGTCGGCCTATTGTCTTCGTAATTGTTATAACTGGAGCCTAGCCTGTGTGTTTTAAATCTTTAGCTTGTGTCCACTCGTCTTGTAGTTTTCAAAACGGTCTTAACTGGAGTCTAACCTGTCATTTTCAAATCTGAAACTTCCAAAACCGATCTCTTTTTGAACATCAAAATATTAACCATTAATATTAACTTCCGGTTAGATCAAGCTACGTACTTAGATTGAAACTAAAAATTAATCTGGTAGTTCGTATAGCTATATCTTTCTTATGTTCTTATAGATTACATTGTTTTATCAGTTGGGTATCCTCGTGCTTAACTATGTTTTTGGCAGTAAATCCAATAGTATATCACGAGGTTCGGCCATCTTGTAAGATACTTAACATAGAACTAAATACATATGTTAAGCTCATAATATATGCAAGATATTGCTCATCAGAGATCGTCCAGTGTTTAAGAGACCCGCCAGTGAGAGATGGCACTTTTGGAGGCAAGACAAAGAGTACGTTAGCAACAAGTGTATAACATCGTCTGGAATTATGAAATATACAGTGAGTCATGTCTCTATGGTTCCATATCACTTGAGATCACTATTTCGTAATGAGCTTAGTTAACGTTTCTTGTGTTATTTCGATATATTATATTCTATTCCGAGTTACTTAAATCTAGGTGGTATAAAACGTGACTTCTCAACCAAAGATGAAATTTACACCATATAAAAAGCCGTAATTTACAAGTTTTCAACCACATGTGGTTGAAAGCTTAAGAAATAGTGTTTGCATGAATGATATTAACTGGTATAATTATCTCATTCAGAAGCGTTTTAGCTTCTTTTCCACCCAAAAATTTGTTTAATCTTTATATTTTAGCATTCCAGTTATAAATGTTTAAAAGGTTGTTTTTCAGGTGACACAATTAACATTTTCATGCAGATGCTCAAGTTTAATCGTTTTAAAGAAAATCATAGATGTGCGAACATGAAAAGATCCTCTTATACACGGGGCGTTTAATGATGAAATTCACAAATACGTGGACACAGCACAGATAACCCATTGTGTAGCTTTGTGCTTGATAACAAACATAAATACGCTTTTGATATATTTCCGCTATAGTAGCCAACTATACAGGAAACGTTTTTAGTGTTCTTACTTTATTTCTTGATATTTAGAGGCGAAGGTGTTAACATTTTCATATGTATATGATATTTTTCAGCCTTATTCCAAATCAGTTTTGCAACAATAACTGAGCATGAAATGATTTGTCTATATTGCCATTAGCACTGCACACTGGAAAGGTGTCTCAATTCAAAGCTAACGTTTATACGTGCCCACTTCTACAACATGCCTGTTTCATTTTATCATGACTTTGAAATTAAACTTTTTTTATGAAATTAGCATGTTTCCATTTTGGTATTTGCCTTTTCCACCTTGACCTGATTTGAAGTGGTTTGTTAGAATATATTTATACAGGATAGTCGGGCTTACAGTCATGTACACCTCACTTAACCCTCGAAATAATAATTTTCCATCATTTTACAGTGATTTCTAATGCATAAAAAATAAAATGTTTAAGGCATCTTGCCACACAAGTTCATATGTCGTGTAGCTAAATCAGCATTGAAAGCCTGTCAACTATTGAATAAGTTTTGTCATTCATCGTGAATTTGACTTTTAACCGTAGATTTACTAATGAGGTTCAAATAGAACCCATCTACCTTTCTTAGCACGTTTTTTTTTAAAGCTTTATACATCAATTACTTCAGAATCCATAATACTAATGATTACAGGATCTCAAATAAAATGAGTCAGTCACACAGAAAATATAAAAAAGTACCATCAGTATTATATTTAAACCCATTAATTACTGCTGGGTCCCTTATGTATTTTACGTGTAAAACAAATTATATCATGTAATATTTTAGTCAATTCTTTACACCGAGTGTTGTAACAAGAAAAACACAAATTACTACATGATGAAATATGTAGACCGTATCAGTAGTGAACGGCCAAAAAACAAATTGGTAAGTTAAGAGTTATTTTATTGAAGTCTACACATCCCTTTCCAACCTAATAATCACTGCAGTTTTAGATCTATATCAGAGCTACGCAGATTTTAAAATAACGTCACATACTAAATAATATTCTTAAAGACCGTGTTAGTTTTTACCGTTTTATACAAGGTATCGTGAGTCACGATAGTGGTTCATAATAGGGATCGTAAGGAATTGTACAAACACCTAAAAACTTTCGGGCAAAAAGCACCTTAAACAGTAAAAATTCAGTCCAATAAACACTTTAAAACCTTTAATAAAAATGCATAAAAAAGCACGCATGTTAGGCTTACAAGTAAAAGAAAATCTGCTCAAAATAGCCCATTTGTAATTATCTTATTATTATTATTCTCTTGCTAGTTTACAACAAAAACTGCTTGGTATATTGCACCCATACCTTTGTATGATAAGGTACTGCGAAGTTCATAGGAGAATTGAAAAGATGATAAGTTTCATCTATGTTTTACATAAGCTAAAAAAAAAATCATAATTCAAGTGTAAACGATATTATCATTACCCCTTGTAGTTATCTTTCTTACAAATATCTGGTGTTCCTTTAAAAAGCTTAAGTACAGGACGAAACAGGATTATCAATCAACAGTCGGTGTCTTCAGGGAGCCAAACCCTATATTATGTATGAAGTGAAGGAGTAAAAAAAATTAAAATACATAATATAGACGTATGTTATATTTGAGAAGACTGCTTTTCTATTGGAAAAAAGTTTTTTCGCGCTTAGTGGGGTTGTGTCTTAGCCTAGGCATATATTTTCCCATTGCTATGCATTATATATAGATAATGTATCTACATAAAAATTATAAATGTTCACTATATTTTCAAACAAATCTCCTTGACGATGTCCAGCTGTAGTTTAACATTTTACATCTCGAACTAATGCGATAAAATAATGCAGAGAAAGGCCGAGGGGATAGTTAAGCGAACAGCAGTTACGGTTTTTCGGGTAATTTACGATTCTGTTTCGAGCTTAGAGAGCGAAGTTTTCGAGATTGTGAATCGATGTGATTTATAGCGTGTATTGTAAAAGTTATTAAGTTTAAAGTGGAGAGAAACGTACTGATTGTGGAATTACTATGTACTAAAAGTTTCTATTAAGAAAGAATAAACTGGTTTAATCAAGAAGGGACTTGTATCGCTGACGTTCCTCGGAAATAATTCTACCAGACATTAACAAACAAGCAGATATGCAACAAATTGGTGTCAGAAGTGGGGCGTAAAACGAACATGTGGTGGCCTACATAGGTAGAGTCCCGAGTAGACCAGAGAGGAATCACTGTGTAACACGAAGGGAACTCCTTGCTATAGTAAAGAGTCTGACGTATTTTCATCCTTACCTCTATGGGGATAGGTTTACCATCAGGACAGACCATGCTGCATAACGCTGGTTAAGATCATTAAAGAAGCCGGAGGGACAACTGGCACGTTGCATCAGAAAGATAGACCAGTATGATTATGATATTGAATACAGAGAAGAAAAATCTCGTGGAAATGCCGATGGACTGAGTCGAAGACCATGCAAAAATGACTGTAGATATTGCAGCAAAAGAGAGGTTGAACTAACCAGGTGCCATCAAGCGGAAGTCAAAATGACTGAAGGAGTTGATGATGGTGATGTGGAACCAAGTATAGATATTAAAGCAGAACAGGAGAAAGACCAAGATTTGAAGCCAATAATCGATTTTTTACAAGCAAGTGTTCTGTGTACTGCTTGGAAGAAGGTGTCTAGCTTAAGCCCTGTGACAAAGAACTATTTAGCTCAATGGGACCAGTTGAAGCTTGAAGATGGTATTTTTGTCCGAAGATGGGAAAGTGACGATCTGGAAAACAGTTATACTGAGAAAGTTACGGGAAGTTGTGCTGCGTCAATCCCATGATAGTTTAACAGAAGGACATCTTGGAGTTAAGAAGACATTGAGTTACCTATGGCAGATATTTTACAGGATAGGCATGAAGCAAGATGTGGAAGAATGGTGCAGGACCTGCAGTACATGTTGTGCTAAAAGGGGACCCAAGCATAAGGGACATGCTCCAATGAAGTTATATCAAGTTGGCACACTAATGAAAAGAGTAACCATGGACATTGCTGGTCCTTTGCCCCAAACTCGTGCTGGAAACAAGTACATTTGCGTGGTGATGTGTTATTTCACCAAGTGGCCTGAGGCATATACAATACCAAATCAGGAAGTTACAACTGTAGCTTCTGCTATTAGTGATTTCTTCTTCAGATTAGGTATGCCATACGAACTGCATTCAGATCAAGGCTGTAACTTTGAATCAGCTGTGTTCCATGAAT